GAGTCCCCCCCCAGCTCTCCTGGAGCCCCTTTAGGCACTGGAAGGGGCTCTGAGGTCTCCCCTTTTTCGCCTTCTCTTCTCCAGGCTGAGCCCCCCCCACTCCCTCAGCCCCATCCTGTCAGCACCGACACCGCAGGGCTGCGGATCCGCCTGGGAAGGGATCGGGCCCATCACCTGTGCCGCCCTCTGGCAAATGCACCATTTTTCGCTGCCGGGGCAATCACATTCTTTGGTTTTTTTCCCCCTCCCGCACATCCCCAGTGCCGGTAGATTATTTCAGTGCGGGTCCCTCTGAATAATACATTCATCCGCAGTCCTTCCCCCACCCCGTCCGCAGCGCGGCCTTCATTAGTCGAACACAGTGGCTCAGCTCCAGCGCGCACAGCTGCCGTCACTGCTGCAATTCTTTTGCCTTGAGAAAAAGCATATACAATTTAATATGCTCCTGGCACAACAGCTTTTCTGTAGCGGAGGAGGCGGGTTTGTTTATGGCTATTTTGATAGGGCAGCTTTCATCCGGACACAGGTTCTGCCGCATCTCCCGCACGCACAAGGGCGCCTTTGTTGGGCCGGTTCTCGTGTTTCTCGGGGACCTCCGGCCATTTCGGTACCTTCTCCTGTCCCCTGCAAGTACAAGTTTTAAAAAGCCCTCCTTGGCTAATCCTGTGGTTTCTTTAAAAGCCAAACCCCGGGCTAAGAGCCAGAGATGCAAGGCACGAGGAGGGGGTGTGATGCTGTACGGGATGCGTGCCCAGGCTACGGACCGTCGTCCCACCTCCGGGGACCGGCCCCGCGGCAGCGTGTGCCAGATGCGTCTGAGCATCCGTGTCAACGGGAGCGGAGCTCGTGATGCTGCCGGTGGCTGTTAGCCACGACTCGCAGGCATGCCAGACTCAGGAGCAACCCTATTGCTTTCCCAGACACCTTCGGCCTCACCGAGAGCCGCACGAACCCCCCGTGGGGGCACGACTCTGCCTCCCGACTGCGGGACCGAGACCGGGGCTTCTCCATCCCCGCCGGAGCCGGCGCTGAGCTGCAGCTTCTCCTCCGGCAGCGGTTCCCGCAGTCACCATGATGCAAGTTAACGTGTGAGCAGTGATGCGTCGGCACGCTCGGCTCCCCGGACAGGTCGGGGTGCGGAGGAGATGCACCTCCGTGCTGGAACCTCTCCATCAAATAACCCGGAGCCTGCAGCCGCAGCCAGCTACTTCTGTCTGGCACACTGCTGGAGCTGCCCCTGGATGAGACAGAGAAATAATCTCTTGTATTTTTCAGCTGTTAAGTCTGTTCCCTCTCGCTGCCGTAGTGGAAATAAATGGTGGGAGGGTTTAGCCGGCACTAATTCATCGCCACGTTCGATGCGAAGTCGCTGCGACTTTGTGCTTGGCCCACAAATACAAGCGAGAAAATGAAACCGGCTAGAAATACGGCTAATCATCCGATCATCGTAAACACATGGTAACGAAACAGAGTCACTCTGTAGCGCATATAAATTCCACACATGTGGAGGAACGCAAAGCAGCTATTGTACCCCCACTTTGCAGATCCATTTCACTACTTTCCCAGTTTATCTGGAAAATACATACTGCATGGTACTGTACGTCGTATTTCACTGCTATGCACCATGATGTCTTCTAATGGAACAATCGCCATGCTTGTAGTCTAAGGGCAACACAAAAGTGCTTTCAAATAATAACAATACATTTTCTGTATAAAGAGGATAGGGAGTAGCCACTTCCCAGAAAGGCTTGATTTCCCCAGAGCCAGCAGCACGAACATCCAGAGCGCCAGGAACAGCAGGCAGTGGTGAGAAAATCCCTACCCCACCATCAGTCTACACGTCCCGTCTCCAACCGCCCGCTCGTGCAAAGAGCGGAGGCCGTTAGCACCCACCGAGGGGAAGGTGAACGCACCCTGGCAGCGAGCGGCTCCGTTTATCCCACCGGGGCTTCGATGAGGGGGACTTTTTTGGCAAATCAGCTCTTTTTGGCTCGGAAGCGGGGCCGTGAGTAGCGAGGAGCCGCGTTCTCGCAGCCCAGCTACCAGGGATCACGCAGCAGCGCAGCATCTGCCAATTCATTCAGCGCTGCTGGCCCGCGCAGCGCCATGGCACGCCGCTGTTCCGCGTTTGGAGACAGTTTATGCTGGAATGGGAGCAGTCTTCTTGGGTAAAATGATTATTTTTTTCCTCCGTGAGGGCTCACGGCTTTTTTAAAGAGAACCCTGCAGACTCAAACTTGCCCACGCGCCCGAGGATGGGACGTGCGTCGCAGCCCGCCCGGGCAGCACAGGCTCTGAGCTTTGCTTTGGCAGGGAGCAGTGTGAGAGCAGAGATGGAAATGCGGCCGGGGGGGGTGGGAGCACTCAGAGGTGAAAAGTTATCCCCGCGCTTCTGCGCTGGGGGTCGGAGGATGCCCAAGGAGACGCTCGCGCTTTGCTCTCCTTTCCCAGGCAAAGCGCAGCCTCTTTTCTAAAAGCTGAATCCAGATTTTTAGACATCAGAAGAATCGCTCCGGTGTTGGAGCCCGATCAAGCATAAAAAACATCCTCAGCCCTCGCAAAAATACCAGCTGGCTGCAGATGCCAGCTCCTCCGGCCGGGCAGCTTTGTCCAAGGCCAGCGCGTTGCGCCAGTGCCGCGTCCCGGCTAAAGCTGTGCCGAGCCGCCGCGGCGCAGAGCCACCCGAGGAGCCGGAGGAGCGTCGACGCCAACGCATTCCCGTAACATGGGATTTTCACGGCTACGCATACGCTCGTGTCCAAATATGTTCTCCTTCTCCAGAGGGAAGTGGGACCTACAGAAGTGACTCCGGCTTTGGAAACGCTCTCGCAAGTTTCTGAGCAGGCGTGTGCATTTGAAGAAGGCGAAAACGAGCTCCAGTCAGGGTTGCCAAATCATTAGAAACAAATTAAAAAAACATGCCTGGGAGCGTAAGAGTAGATCATTCGGGCTCTAAATGGTGAACTGGTCTCTGAAACACCAAGTGTGAGCTTCTGAACGGGTCAGTGCTCGTCGGGTCAACGGTGCAGCACCACCTACTTCATCTTCCCACTCTGCCACCTCCCGCCCCCGCGGGATGGACGGTGTCCTGGGGGACACTCCTGCAGTGGCGGTGACTGCACGTGCACGCAGTGAACGGCAGGGAGAAGGATCTCCGGCTCTCTTTAAGGAGACCATCGTGGGTTTTGCCTCCGCACAAGATAACATTCTCTCTCTCGGCTGCGACACAGAAATGTGCGCAAAGGACAAACACGATCTCTCCCATAAATAGGTCGGTGAAAGGATTTATGCACCATTTAAGTCTTAGAACAGAACGCGACGCGCGCACCTCGTGCAACCTTCCCAACAGCAGAAACGTCACCCTTCGCGTGGCCACTCCGCTTCTGAAGACCACTTACTACCACAAGAAAACCAAACCAGCAGCCCACACCCAAACTGGTGTGCACTGGGATTGCTCGGTTGTCTGCCACAGCTCGTTTCCCACCACCACCTGCACGGGTAACACGGTGTCAGCCCGTGCTTGCTTGAGGATCAAGGTTCACGGGGTCCAGGTGACTCCACAGCTTCTGGCCCCCCCTTCCCACAAAGCAGTGGGAATGCTTGAGAGGTTACAGCGACCTGCTACACGCCGAAGCCTGGTCAGCCACGTGGGCCTCGTAAAAAACCTGGGGGTACAATTAGCTTCTATTAAAAAAAAAAAGGTCTTTTCTTTTGTCTTGGGAGTCCTGAAACAGCTGCAACACAATTGAAACCAACCGAAAAAAGAATGACAATGAGGAGTGGTGAGATGCTCTTTTCTGGGGAGCGTGGGCTGGTAACGTCCTTCTGGAAGAACCTCAGAGAGAGTGGTCACTTCTGATTACTACATAATGTGAGTAATTCTCTGGAAAGACGAGTCCTTCCCGCCTGAATCATAGCAAAAGGGGGAAAAATAACACACTCCAAAAATGGAAAGCTGGACAGCCCGTGGATGCCGGGAGCCGCCCAAGATTCCTGTGTGGGGGCCACCACAGCGAAGCTGCGTGGAGTGAGTCCACCAGCCCTGCACGCTGCTCCGGGCTGGTGGCACCAGCACCGCGGCCAAGCTCGGACCACAACGTACCCACTCACGTGGCCACCCGGAGCTCTGGTGGGTACGGCAGCTAGCGTGGCACCAACACCACCTCCTCACCCAGCGCCCAGCCTCTCCAGTGCTTCAACCCATGCCTTCACCCTGAGGGACGGGTGGTGCCTCCGGAGGCTCTGCCTTCTCCGAGAAGTTTGTCCTCAATGCGGTTCTGGGGCAGCCCCTTGCGTGAGCCCCGGCAGCAGCACGCTACGTCTCCGCTGCCGAAAACGGCTTTGTGCTTCTGTCCCAGGGCAGCTGCACTTCTGAAAGCCCCGGCACGGCCAGAAGTTGAGGAACGACTGGGTGAGATCCCCAGTGTGGTCGGGGCCGTGGGCTTTGTCTGGGATACGGGGGCAAAAAGGCGCAGCATCGGTGTTTGCGAAAGCGCCCGGTGTTCCCCAGGTCCCCCCCCGGCTGCCGGAGAGGCACCAGCAGTCCCGCGGGGTTCGCAGCTCCACGCGGGGTCCCTGCGACCAGCCGGGCGGCTCGCAGACCTCACGTCCCCCGGGTGCCGAGCCGCCCGGCTGAACCGGCACCTCCACAGCGACGCGACGGTCCGAGAGACACCTCGAGCCCCTCCTGCTTTATGTAGACATACAGGGTCACATTTAAACAGAAGAAATTTTTTTTCCTCATGCTAATCCTCCAGAAAACCAGTTTGGTTTCCATTACTATATATAGCACTGGGATTCTTGGTCTATTTTTTGTCCCTTTGCATCTGATTATTTTCAGTAGAGTTCAAACTTTTTATGATATGCAGATTTTAACTAGAACACGGCTTCTATTCATACAGAGTGCCATTATTAATAAACCCACAACGGCCGCATATAATGTAGAAGAATTTTATTCATACCGTAATCCTGTCCCATCATCCACTGCAAATATTACAATTATCTTTAAAATGTCATTGAATATCATTTTGTTCCACTCAGAGCATAGGAATCCTGGTGTTAAATTGTTACACTTCTCTTGAGATTGCTTATAACACAACCATAATCCAAACGTATCTTCCATGAGCTGTAAAGGTTTAAAGCCCAGAATCTCTGTGTGTGTGTGTGTGTGTGCGCTCGAGTCACTTCTAAACACTGAGGCTAATCCTCGGTGTTTAACAAGAGATGTATATCTTGCACATTATGCAAAACACTCACAACTTTTTACCAATACAACAGAAATACAATAGGTAAAAGAACATACATGAGTGACTGGTAACCTTTAAAAATTATTTAAAAAAAAAATAAATTGCACAAGAGAATACAAAAACTGTGAAGCAAATCAAAAGTTTTGCGAATGCATATACATTTATCTCTCTATATAACAGGGCTCTGCCTATAGAAATACGTGATAAGAACGGGAAGGTTGAAAAATGTGCATGGTCCTATTTAATATCACGCGCAAGAAGCAGAACGTAACCGTAACAAACAGCAGCGACGCACACACGCTGACGGGACCCCCGAAAACCCGCTGGGATAAATGAGGCACCTCGAAGGGGTGAGAGAAGCCCGAAGCCGAGCGGCGGTCAGCCCTGCAAAGCCCCGGGGGCAGCGACGGGAAGGGCGGGTGCTCCGGGTGGGAGCCGGTAGGGAAGTCCCAAGTTTGGGTTTGGTGACTGCAGAGGAGGAGGAAAGCAGGCGGCGCGCCGGCCGCAGCCACCGCAGCCATGGTCTTCACCCACCGCCCCCTTCAGAGAGGAGACGGCGCCTCCTTTCATGGCGCAACCTTCGGCGCGTGAAAGGTACGGGGAGTTCATAGGGCCTCTGTCACCAGAGAGGGGGCACAGTGGTGCCCCAGCTGAGGAGCGGGCAGCGCGGGTGGGGGCAGCCGAGCGCAGAGCTTTGCCGCCCTCGGCAAGGACGAGTTTTCCTTCAAAGGAAAAGCTTCGCAAGGAATAATCTGAGTGCTCCCACCCCCGAGGGCTGCGGAGCGCGGGCAGGGCCGGCTCTGCACAAAGCTCTGCTGAGGAGGAGCCCGTGTCCCGGCATGGCGGCACCAGCGCCGGGAGCTGCTCGCGAGGTGCCCGGGCCTTCTGAGACACGATACGTGTCCCCTGGAGGAGAGGCAGCATTCTGAAGCACAAATTTGGCTCTTGGAAAATCCTTTAAAAAGCCTAAAATGTAGTCAGTTACTAAAAGAAGGGCATTTGAATTTTATTAAGTGGACCTTATCAAAACCCAGCTGCTGCTGTCGTCCCTGGCGGCTCCCGGCACCACCTCCTCAGCACTGCGTGTAAGGGGAATGGCCTCAGAGCGGCTGAGCTCACCCCGGGGTGGAGAAACGTGTTTCGAAGCCCCCTTAATTCTGCGGAGAAGTTCCCGTGGGACTTTTAAGGGATCTAACGCAAACCCTCATTTAAAAAAAAAGCTGAGGACCAATTCCTTGGGTCCTAAAGGCTCCATCTGCATTCTCACAAGACGTTGTTCCTCCGCCTCCTCGCCCAGAAGACCGGTGTGGGCTGTTTGCCCCCGCACATCCTACAGAGCAGACCTGAAAGGGCTTGTAACGCGGGGGAGTACGGCCCCTCTATCTGAGCCACCAACAAAACGACTCAGAAGCTCTCCCCTTCCCTGGCTCGCTGGGATGATCCGAAACCCGGCGCCAACCTTCCCTCAAACCACGCGGCTGCCACTCGCCCCACGGGACCTCAGAAACCTCCGGTCCACAACCAGGGAAAAGACTTTTCAAAGTGCCAGGCAGAGGGACACCGCGTGATCAGAGAGGCTCGGCAAAAGGTGAATGAGACCAACTTCAAAGACAATAAGGGGAATAGAAATTCGTATGAATTTTAAATAGTTAAAACCACAGTTTGAAGCTGTATCATCCAACAACAGGTAAAAATCTTGCCTGCGAGCCAAGAGGCATCTTCCCCAAAGCTCATCTTATCCAAACAGTTGTCTTCCTACCGACAAGGTACATAAGAGCTGAACCGACACCCAGTACGTGACATAAACAAAAAAAATACACATAAAATGCACACCTTTTATTTTCTTCTTCATAAAGCTATGGAGCTGCACAGAGCAAAGTGAAGTGCACAAGGTCACACGAAGGCAGCTTGCCAGGAGGAGCCACTTAGACGGTGAGCGAAATGAAGCTGTTGTATCTCTGGATGTTCCTCTTGAGGATTTCGGAACAGGGACCGAGCACGCGTTCGAAGCGGGGCCGATCCAGCTTTACGCACTTGAGGGGTCCACGTGCCACCACGGTGGCGGCTCGGGGCCGGTTGAGCAGTAACGCTATCTCACCTGGGAAGAGGGAGAAAGGGGCTCTCACACACCCTGTGCCTCTCGGAGGCCGCGTGTTCCACTCACCAACCTCCGGCTTTGGCTGGAGAACATCTCCCGTTACGAACCTCTTGACAGACACTTTACATAATGCTGTTGACAGCGCAGACGCATGTCACATGCATAATGCATGCGTGTAAAACGCCTCTGAAAACAAACGCTTTCAGACTGTTTTGCGGAGTCTGGATCCGTCTCCTGTCAGCTACACTGGTGCAAACCAAAGGGCGGTGGGAGCTTCACCGCGGTCTCCCCGTGCCGCTGGAAGCAGCGCCTGACCTACGCGTAACCCCTCGCTTGTAAAAGAAGAGCACGCTAATTAAGAGGATAACTACTCGATACGACTCCGTGTGCCCGTCTTTCTGAGCCACGCTTAAGTTGAATTTTCTTACCGAAATAATCCGACGGACCGAGTCTCCCCACTTCCACGTACTCCTCGTTGTCAGACCTGCGCTGCAGCACGGAAGCTGTGCCCTGGGAAGAGGAGGGCAGAGATCAGTCGGCTTTGCTTAAACCTGTTATGCTTTAAAAAGGAGCGAGTCCTGAGGATTTCCTTTTGCCTGCCGCGCTCCTCCAGTTCTGCCATGGGAGAGATGACCATTTCAGTCGATTCCTTGGCTAGGCATGAAAGGAATTAAAGGGTTAAAAAAAAATCTATCAGTGTGGCAACCGGTTCCTCTCAGGAATTGTCTGGGTGCAGACTGGCGCACACAGAAGAGAGGAGGAACAGGACAGACCTCAGTAGCTCCTGTTTAACTAACGCACATCGCGCCGTGCGAGCATTTGCTTTAACAGCATTTAAAAATATGTTCTGGGTGGCTGCAGAGCCTTACAAGAGACGCAGAAAAGATTTACATCAAAAGGGATAAAAAAGCAACTCTCCCACTCACAATCCTGTAAGACAGCAACCAGAGTTTAATCCTCACCAGACCGTTCACTGGAGCTGTCGCTCAAACGGGTGGCAGAGGCCCTTCGTAGTGCTTGTTGCAACAAGGGCTGACTTTTTTCTGAATGTCTTTGCCCGCTTGTGGCCTGTAGTGATGTGGACACCTGCGAGTCAGGCGCTGGGGCGATGGAATGTGTCTCGTCTCCACTGCCCTTAATAACTGCCGTACTTGACACGTGCTAATACATGTCAAAACTCAGTTACAGTCTATTTAAACCTTCAAAGAGGTTTTACGTGCAGAAATATTCTAACCTGGAGGAAATCTTAAATTATCGTGGCGTAAAGCTTTTGTAGGGGAATAGAGAAGGTATCTGCTTTCCTGGAGAAAAATAACAGTAACATGAAATTATCTTCTGAGTCCAAACCAAAAGCATAGGGAAAGGCAAAATGTTAACATGTTTCGATTTTAACTGAAATTAAAAAGATTTTGTAAACGCCAAGATTTTTAAATAGAGCGGAGAGCCACTTTTTGCCCCTGCAGTTGGAGAGCATCGCTGTTCCGAGGTGAAGATTTTCAACCTGGAAAGTAACGCATGAGGACCGATCCTGCCCCCGCTGGGAGGGCGGACGGGAGGAGCCACGGTAACGTGGCGTGTCGATGCCGGTTATGGGAAGCCACCACGGCCCTCACTCGGCAGCTGAACCCCCAAGCGTGGCGCGGCTCGGCCCGCCGGCGCCTGCAGGACCACCTCCCTCCAGCGCAGACGCACCGGATGCAAACATCCCACCGCTTCCCTCCACCCAAAGAAACCGGCGTGCCTGCGGGCATGGTGGGGGTCTCGAGGAGACACTGAGCACCCCCAAACACCTTGGCCTGGGTGCGGTCAAGGCCCCAGCGCCCTCCAGAACCAGCCCTTCGCCTGCCCACTGTGCTTCAATACACTTGATGGTGCCCCAAACGTCGCCGCCGCGTTGCAAACCTGACCGGCACCGTGAGGTTTGGCGTTTGCTCCCCGAGGACCTGGGGGCCCAGGAGCAACCAAGAGCGGTAGAATATCCACTATTATGTAGCAAATGGTCATAATTTGCGTTCTTCTGAACAAACACAACTGAGCTGCTGTAATACCACTGTATTGCATCACGTCCCGTTTCATAACAGGGTTATTTTTAAGCCCCTGCACTTTACAAATTGCTGGGCCACTCTCTGGTTTAACTTACACGCTGCATAAACAAAGAGGTAAATCTTATCTCCGCTGATGCCAGGAACCAGAACCAGAAAAGAAATGATGTGCAAGTGTTGTTTGATCCGTGCTAAGCAGCTGACGGTTTCTATATGGACTTGGGTGTGTAGCAAATTAACCTGCCACATTAAAAGTTATAATTTCCCATTTTGCCTGTGAGCAGCTACATGCGCTTAGCAGAAATCCCTGGAAATCAGAGTGTCGACACGTTACATTGGTTGTGAGGATTTACCGTCCCAGCCCAGCAGCTACAAGCCGTACCAGTACGGCAAACGCTGAAGAAACACCGGGGCTGTAAATCCGGGGCCGTTCGAAAACAGTCACAGAGCTCTCCTCGGCCTCAGTTCTCCCCCTCTCACCGTGCCGGGCAGCCAGGGCAGGAGGTGCAGAACATGCCCTCGGCACCGCGCGCGCGAGCGAGGGCACCTGAGCTGGGCAAGGCTGTTCAAAAATAAGCCAAACGTGCAGGGGAAGGTTGGCTTTGGTCTTTTGTGGGGTTTGTGTGGGGTTTTCTCTCCCACTAAAACAGGCCACGCACATAAAACGGTCCACAGCCAGTGCAAGGCTATCCACAGAAGTAACTGGAAGAACTGGATATAAGAAAGCGATTTGGTGCCTGTCAAGTTTCCAGCAAAAATTCCTTATCCTTGATATAACTCAACTGTTGCGCCAAAGCTGCTGTTTTCCAACATCTTCCAGTAAATCTGCAAGGGCACGAAAACGCACAGATAGTGTAATGAGTTTTGTCATTCACACTTACTGCAAGTTTGCAGAGCAAACGCACATTCGAGAGCAGCGTCGGAAATACCCCATCCAGGCAGTAACGCGAACATCGACCTCTCTCTTGCCGAACTGCAGCTCAGGTGCAGTGAGCTCAGGCTCACTAAACCGATGCTGCTCCGACTGCCGGCGCAGCGTAGACGGGATCCGCTTCAGAGGCGCTTCCAGCCCCTGTCCTCCTCTGCGTCCCCATCTGGAGCCTGGCAAAAACCTAACCCCTTGACCCAAATAGCTGTCTGCAATCCATGTCTCCGCTCTCTTTCCCAAAACTTTTATTACAGATGTTTTATTACATAAAACAAAAAAAAATTCCCCGAAGCAATCGTGCTGCCCGCCCAGGTCAGACGGAGAAAGGACTCGGTTCCCCTCTGCCCACCTTGAGTACGTCGCCATAAAGGTAATCACAATATCCAGCAATATTGCTTTCATCTCCCCAAGTGTCAGCTTTTATTGTGGCTAATATTTTTTTGACAGGGTCCGTATGATATAGGGCTCCAATAAGTCAGTCTTCTGAAGCAATTTCTTCCACTGTTCCACTACAGTCGGCCTTTTTAATCCAAGAAACACCACGATATCTGCTGGAGGAGGACAGCTGTGTCTGGCCTCCACAATAAACACTTGGCTTGGCAGGGGAAAGCGATGCGTATTCCAGATACATATTTTTCCACTCTTGTTTTAACAGTCACACAGGCTTTTCCCGTTGCCCAGTGAGAACAGGTCTATCACGGAGCAAAAGAAGTTTCCTGAAACCCTGACAGCGAGCACCCAGATGCGAGGTCTGATTACGCCGCTCGGCCTCTCGTTGCACAATTCACCAGCGCCACAAGTACATCCTGGAGCATTGTCCCAGTGACCTTCACGGGAAGACCGTCCACACCGCCAAACAAAGAAGATGTATTTATACTGATCTATCTCTCTTCACTTTACACATCTTATCACTGGAAGCAACGCTGTTCCAACTATATTGGAGGAAGAGTCCGATTGTACACAATCAGCGTAACCGGGGCAAAAATAATACAGAAATAAAATAATACAGAATAAAATAAAAGAAGAGAATAAAATAATACAGAAAGAATCCTTTATTACCCATATCATTAAGGAAGTAGTGATACTAAATGAGTTTGGTGCTGACCCCTGCCCTTGCTCCCATCACAGCTTTCACAGCTGTATTTCCTTTGACTTTACTTGTCAAATCTTTCCGACGCAGTTTTTGAGCTTTCTATCCTTCTTGTCCTCTTATAACTGATACAACTGAGGAAACCTCCTGCGCCCTGTGCCGGGAGGTACGGGCATCGTCCGGCAGGGATTCGAGGGGCTTATCACTCTCACTCCCAACAGCATTTGGTCTCGGTGGGAAAGATTTCCCCCTCGGTGGCACTCAACACCTGGCAAGAGCGGTCTCTCTGGAACAAACCGCCGGATCCCAGATTTGCAGGATGAGGCTGTTTAGCGCTGCTCAATTTCAAGCAGTGTCTTGCACACCGATAGCCATTCCAGCCTCCCTACACCACCGAGCAAAACCCACAGAGCACCGGCTCACGGGCTGTGAAGAAGTTTGACGCCGTTTAATAAATCAGCACGTTGGACGGTATTAAACCGCAGGCAGACAGGCACGTCCCCGCGAGCAGACACTCGGGAGTGAAACGATGATCTTCGGTGGATCCAGGAATATTCCCTTTCAGTCACTGGGGAGTGCCTGTATTCCCAGGAACCGATACCATTAACCTTCTCTCCTCTCCTCCCAGTAAACACGGGCATCTTGTTGCAAAAACAACAAGAGTAGCCGTTCCAAAAGCAATGTGCCGTCACCACCTCTCTGCCACGCTCACCCCACGCACCGCGCTCTGTCACGGCACTGAGGGTATTCATTCCGCTCTTTCAAATGCATCAGCAGTTTGTTTTGTAAAAATTTATGGCTTAGGTACGGCACCATAATTTAAGATATAAAAAATAAATTAAGGTTTATAATCCATGAGCTCCCATCCTCTCCAAAGTAATGAGAATTTGATAGATGTTCCACTTTTAAACTGTCGGACCGTAGGGATGAGCGAGACATCCTACAGCGTAGGGACAGGGACCCGTCTGGATCAACACCGAGATTCCCAGGGCTGATCCTGCCTGCCCTTGTAAGCGCCGATCGCTTCGGGAGCCCTATTTTTATGTTTAAGCATGAATCCCATAGCCAGCAGTTACAAAAGGCGAGTGTTCATGATGCTGCAAAGTGAACTCCTGTATTTTTTCCCTCCGTTCCAGCTGAGCGGAGTGGGGGGACGGTTCCCGGGCAGCACGAGGCCAAAGGCGGCCGGCAGGGACGTGCACGGGTGCGTGGCGGTGGGACGGGCTTCCCCGGGGGCTGGGGTGGCAGGGGACATGCAGAACAGAATTTTAACACAGAAGCACAGTTTTAAAAACTTTTTGGTTTAAAAGTCAATCCTGTTGATATTTTGCTTTTGCTGGTGTAACCTCCCGTTTTAAAGATATAGCAATGGGTAAAAATTATAGCGAGGCACCACCGGTAATAAAAGGACGTATTTATCATTATTAAAATTGAAGAATATTCGTTGTAA